GGTATTCAGCAATAATTTGCACCGAATGGCTTGGATCAGTCGGTAACCAGCAATGAATCGCATCAGTCGCCGCAGGCCCTTCATTCCTCGTGGTTTGAAGCCTTTCCGGCAACTCATATAATTTTTCCAACGTAGTGATGAATGACCAGGTGACCTAGCCCAGCCACTAGCATGCTAGTCGGCGATCATCTCTCGCAGGTGAGCCGAGTATGGAACATTAAAGCTTCTTCCTTCTACTTTCGACGACTATGTCCTTCACTACCGCCCGCTGTATGATCGCCGTTTTCTGGATATGATGGCGACGTAAACTTTTCAATACTCTTCTTTTCATAACTCCTAGTGGCATAGGTGGCGTCCACCCGCTTTTATGAATGACCACGTCAAAACAGTAGATTTAAAGAGTTGGGAGTGGGTTTCCTTCTTGATGCAGTTTAGGACGAAATCTTTGATTGAATGGAATGCGCATCAACAGGTCCTTTATCTTCGCTGACTTTCCAGCCTGATCATGCCGCATGCTGATCTAATGATCCATGTAAATGTAGTAATGAACTTCTATCTTTTCATGGTTTAATGCTATCTGGATCTTTGGCAAACGTCGCAGTCTCTTCGTTCTTCGACTAATTGATTTTCCAGTAGGATTTCTGCATTGTTACTCTCGAGCTCTTTCAGCATAGTGTGTAGCTCACTGGCGTTTTCCGCAAACAGCACCATGCGATTAACGAACCTTAGGTGACTGAGCTGTTTACCGTTGACGTTAATCCCCTTCCGGCCAAATCTCCCTCCTCCCGAAACACCATTTCCAGTCAGGCAATGAAGAGTTTAAGGAGGATGGTGTACCCTTGTTTAACGCATTTATCTACGGGAGTTCGGAAAAGGAGTCGAACAGCTTGATGTTCATGAAACGGTCAGAGTTTGCTTCCTTTAACAGGTTAACGCAATGTGTCAATGCTCTGTCCCATCAGTTCAGTCGATGCTGCGCTATGCTCAACAGTGTCGCATGCTTTATCATGGTCGAACGGAGGCTATACCGAGAAGAAGTTGGAATTCCTTTGCGTGCTTGAGGAATTGGCTTAAAGTAAATATCTATCCGTGCATCGAATCACACTTACAGGAATTGAAGAAGGATGAAAGCCAAGAAAATTGAATTTTTGTTGAACCTGCGCAAAAAAACTGTTCTGCATCTCTAAAGCACAGAGAAAAAAGTCTAGAGAAAGTCGCCGAAATGCGGTTTTGACGCTAAGTGCTGCTTCGGCAATCCTTTGAAATAGCGGTAGAAATCGCGTGGAACAAATACACACACATCAAAATAATCGCGAAGGCCTGTTCGTTTAAACTACCGTGCGGAAATAACCAGTATTGGAAGAAGTTCGACATGGCAGTGAGCTTTCTGGCCAAGAATTTAGGAGAGGTTTAAAATGGTGAGCAATATAATCTGAATTGTCTCATTCAGGGGCTCAGCGGCTGTCGATTAAGGGTGTTTGTCGACAACCGGTGCAGTTTGCTGCATCCAACTTTATTTCGCTGGTCGTTCAGTGAAATACAGACACGAAACTATGGTCATACAAACAACTTGCAGTTCAAAACAGACACAATATGGCCGGACGGTTGTACAACACAGTCTACACGGAAGAGCAACGCTAAACGAACTCCATTGGCGAGTTTGATCGTCAATCGCTTGTACCATCACACTTTTAGGATGCTCCGTAAACAGTATACTTGCAAGCTGTCGAGAAGAACTAAATAGTGCTTTAGGACAACAGGTTTCTAGTCAGAGAATGCGACTGTTTCAAAATGATAAATCTTCATAGCTACTTTTACAATTCTATCTGTCCATTTATCGTACAGCTTCCAGAAATTAGCGGAAATCGGCCCAGTGCATTACTTCTTCCAAGGAGACCATGAAGAGAGAGATATTTGAAATAGTCCATTTCTTCACTATCGCTGCCACACCCCACACAGTGTTCCAGAATTCGTGAAAAACACACCTCGCGTCAGTAGACTATTTCCGAAGCAATTCGGCAGAGCAATATAGCCTACATACCGCAGATCGGTTTGAAATATTACCTGATACCTTGAACTAACGCAATTCCTT